GCAGGTATTCTGCCATCAGAGACTGGATGGCTGGGGCTGTCACTGAAGCTCAGCAGTTGGCATGGAAGCCCCTGGGACTGGCCACGCTCTACCGAGATGGCTTTAGTGAGGGAAGGCCTGTGATCTCTGCCCCTCTGCCCTTCCATTGTGGTCACCTGTGGAGGAAACAGCTGCAGGACTGTGGTATCCCTGCAGGCTCAAGAGCTTGGTGATGAGCCTCCAGGGCCAGCTCAAGGTCAGCCACTGTGCCCAGGCTGTGAGCACTGAGTCACTGAATCCTGCACCTGACCACTCCTATTAATTCCAGAGGTTTACAGAGCTCCTACCACACACCAGGCTTAGTGCTAGGCCTGGGGAGCCAGGAAGAGCTCAGCCTGAGGGCAGAGACAGACAAGAAGTGAATTACAGAATCAGTGTAACAGCCACTGTGAGTCAACACAGTGTGGTGACACTGGGGTCAGCTGGGTCTGATTTTGAAACCTAGCTTGGCCACCTGTTAGCTTTGTGACTTTGAGGAAGCTACTCAACCTGAGTCTCAGTTTCCTTACTTCTAACATGGGTAATAATTACATAAAGGTCTAGCCTATAAGCTAGTCAATTAATGGTATTATGATGTATATACGCAATGGGGAATATGTGGGGTTGCGGAGTCCTGGGTGGTACAAATAGTTAATGCACTCAGCTGCTAACTGAAAGATTGGCAGTTCAAGTCCACCCAGAGGTGCCTCAGAAGAAAGGCCTGGCAATCTATTTCCAAAAAAGCAGCCACTGAAAACCTGATGGAGCCAGTTCTACTCTGACACACATGGGGTCGCCATGAGTCTGAATCAACTTGATGGCAACCGGTTATGTGGGGTTGTGGCAGGGAGGAAGAGTTGAGGAAAGCTACAAAAGCAGCAGCAGCAATTAAGCTGGATCAGAAAGAGTGAGACGCCAGGCTTACCAGGGAGAGAACAGCACATGCAAGGCAAAGGGGCAGAGGCATTTCTGCACATGGTGTGCCCAGGGGATGGGACTGTCAGGTGTGGCTGGACAGTGCTGGGGAAGTGGTAGGAGATGGGTTGGAAAGGGTGGGCTGCTGGCCCACTGCCCAGGGTCTTACTGTCTGGCTGGCAAGAGCGCCTGAGCAAGACTCCACCCGCTGTGGGCGGGCATATGGAAGGTGGGAGACGATTTGTTTCCTGGCCATGACATTAAACAACACTGAATCACATATTTCCTTTTCAATTCTCCTTCAGTCCTCCAACTCAATCAAAGAGAAAGTCTCCATTTTAAATATGTCACACTTGCTAATCACATAGGCCTCAAAGCGACTACTTTCCACAGGCAACTGTAACCACCAAGAATTCAGCAACATTGTTATGTTTTTGTTTTTATGATTATCTTCTGTTCAGAGTAAGCGATCCTGGCTTTCCATTTACATGGGTGACACAAAATTTCCTTTGAAAATACACTTAAATGACTGATATTCAGGAAACGATGCTGAAGGCACTAGAAAGTCACCCAAACTCTGTGCCACGAAGGGCCAAATCTGAGTTTTGGAGAGACAGCTCTGACAGAAGGGGGAGACCAGGGTGGAGGGTGCAGTCCACAGAGCCCTGAGCAGATCCAGGTAGAAAATGAGGCAGGTCTTCCATAGGCAGTGGGCTTCAGGAGGATGTGGATCTAGGGGGGACATCCTGGAAGCCGACAGGATGGGGGTTTGTGACCTGTTGTGTGGAAGCAGAGGGGAGAGGAAACTTTTGTGTCTGTCCTGCAAACTGTAGCTGACTGCATCTCGATGAGCATCTGTCACTTGGATTCGAACGTCTCTATCGTCTCCCATCAGACTGGAAGCTTCTGGGGGGCAATGTTCTCATCTCCTACTTCTTTTCCAACTGTCCAGAGTGCCTGGACTCTGTGTGACCTACAGGGTACTCCAACGGCACAGCCCACCAGCTGACAGGTCAGGATCACAGACAAGGTGACTAACCACACCAGTTTGCCTCCAACTGAGGGATTTCCCAGGAAGCGGGACTTTCAGTGCTAAAACTGGGATAGTCCCGGGCAAACTGGGTCCAGTTAGTCACCCTACCTCAGACAGTCCTTGCAGGGTGGGAGCCCTGGGCCAGAACCCTGTTGGGCTGGAGTTGCTGGTCTCTGGGGTGGAAGTGAGAAGCCCACACTGTCTGCACGGGCCCAGGCCCAGGTGGTCAGTGCCACGTTCATATGACCACCACCACCCACCTCAGAGCCGGCCCCCAACCTTCTCAAAAAGGTTCAGAGACCTCAGTCCCTTCCAAGAAAATACATTTTACCCTGGTTAGAAGCCTTCTGGCCACACTCCAAAATTTGGTGCTTAAGCTTGAGAATCCAAAGCCCCCAAAGATGCCATTTTTTAGGAGTGGCAATTATTCTAAAAGGAAAGTCATAGGCCCTAGCATTCAGAACCCTACAAGTCTGACTCCACTTCATCTTCCCAACCACAATTTCCCTAATTCTCTGAAGTATACCTTGTGTTCCAGCCAAACAGCCTGCTCAATGATCCATGCCTGTCTCTCCTCCTTCCCACTTCTGTCCTCTCTTCCTTGTGTTCCATCTGCCTGGAGGGCTCCTTTCACACATCTGCTCATGCCTGAATTCCTCCTTAACTTTAAGGCTCCAGTATCACCTCTCCATGAAGCCTCTCCAAGTCCTCCAGGCGGAATATACTCCTGATTTCTCTGATCCTCTTCCAAAGCCCAATCTCACTTATGGCGGCCAGCTTTCCACCTTGGCCTGAACTGGACTGGCAACCACCAGGAGTGTTCACAGGGTCATTTTTGTGCCCCTTCCCCCTGCTGTCAGAAATCAGCACAGAGAATCAACGCATAAATGAACAAATCCATAATACCTAACTGGGAAAAGTTTCAACTTTCTCAACAAATCACCTCCAGACAGCAAGGAGGGTCTTCAAAGGGGCTCATCCACTCTTCAGTTATTCATTCATCCATCTGGCCAACAGTCCCTGAGTCGTCCACATGGCAGACAAGGTGAATGTGACACACGGTCCATGCCCTCCCCGTGCAGCGGGAAGGAAGGCCGATGCTACACAGACATGCTCTGACCTCGCTGTACATAGCGACCGCCACGCAGCACAGGGCACTCTGGGAACATTTGATGGAGGGCTTGGCCCAACCTGGGGTCATGGAGGCTCCCAGAGAAAGGGACACTAAAGCCGAGCATAAGGATGAAGAAGAGGGCATGGCCACATATAGATTGGGAATGTGCCCCTGCCACCATCTCAGGAGAAAGCAAGTGGCTTGGGAGTCTAAGACACAAACGTTCCATGTCTGCTCCTGGGCTCCCTGGCTGTGGGATGACCTGCCTCAGTTTTTTTAACAGCATAACAGGTTAACAGGGTTACCCTCTCCAGGTTGTTGTGAGGATTTTCAGGGATAACAGGTGGGAAGCACTCAGGACCCGGTCAAGCTCCCCCCAAACACAGGGATTACTGTTGTCATTACCCAAACAGCTCACAGGACACCAGAGGATCCCAGGCAGCCAGGATTCTGCCTGGGCTGAGCTGGACAATAATCCTGCCTCATGATTAGCCCTGACCTGACGGGGAGGAGAAACAGGGCCGCCGTCTGGGCCTTCCCAACTGCCAGGCAGACCAGCCCAGGTCAGACTGTGGGATTCTCAAGGGACAGAATCTGGGAGGCCACAAGGCCCAGAGGTAAAGGGGGAAGGAAGCTGGATGTAAGCAAGAGGAAGACAGCAACTGAGGGTGTGGCGGAGGACAGGCCTGGGCAGGGGAAAGAGACAAAGAACAGACGGAGGTCCGAGAGAACCTTCTCTCTCCACCACCCGCCCAGGCTCCAGAGAATTAGCAAGATGATTTCCTGTGATGGATGGCAGCAGGGCTCTGACATTTATAGGCCACTAGATCTCTTCAGGCTAGCTAGGTGTTTAAAAGCCTGTCTGAAAGCCACCCTGTTAGGGGAAGGAGCCAACCACTGGCCGGAAACCCCCAAGGTGCGCAAATACCCACATCACTTCTCAGGAGGAAGGAGCTGGGGTGCAGCAAGCTGAGATTAAGGTCCTGGCCCCAGTGCCCCACCACCCCGGGGAATCCACACAATAGTCTGGGAGGAACTGTAGGTCACCTGGAGACCACGCTGGCCTTCCTGCCATTCCTGAAACACACCAGCCTGTTCCCCACTGTGGGCATTTGCCTTTACTGCTCCCTCTGCTTAGAACACTCTGTTCCAGATCCTCATACTACCAGCCCCACTGCACCATTCGGGGCTCCTATCGGATATCATCTCCTCCTAGAGGCCGAGAAAAGTGCTGGCACATAGTAGGGGCTCAGTACATGTTTGATGAGTGAATGGGTAAGTGTATAGTGAAGTGTTTAAGAGCAAGGGCTCTGGTCAGACTGCCGGGGTCTCATCCCTGCTCTTCCTCTTACTGTATGAGCTTGGACCATTTACCTAACCTCCCTGTAACATGAGAATAACAACAGTACCTACCTCATAGGATGACTCGGGGATTAAATGAGATTATAAAGAGCCCTGATGCCGCAATGGTTAAGCGCTCGGCTGCTAACCGAAAAGACTGGCTATTCAAACCCACCCAGTGGCTCCGTAGGAGAAAGACCTGGTGATCTGCTCCTATAAAGACTACAGCCAAGGAAACCCTATGGGGCAGTTCTACTCTGTCATACATGGTTGATATGAGTTGAAATCAACTTGATGGCACCTAACAAGAACAAATGAGAACATGCATGTAAAATAGTACCTGACCCCCCGTAAGCACTCAGCACATGGTTGCTGCCATCATGATCTTTGCTTGCTAATATCTCTTGCTTATTTATTTGCTCACTTGTTTAACATCTGTCTCCCTCCACACCATGTCAGCTCCAGTCTGGCTTACTCTCTGCTGTGTCCTTAGTTTCTAGCACAGTTGGGAAGAGAAAATCAGGCCTCCTCCCAATAAGGGAATGTGGAGCTGTGCAGCGTGCAAGTAAGGAGCCTTACCGATCTGTTTCTCCAGGGCGGCTGCCTCACAGACAGTGGCCCGGGGCAGGATCCCAGGGTCAGTGAAACTCGTCTGCAGCAGGCAGCTCATGACGAAGAAGAGGAGGATGGCGGCAATGATGGGGATGGCGAGGGTCAGCCTGCTGGCCAGGAAGGGACAGCTAGAATGAGAGAGGGAGAGACAGGTTAGCAGACACTCCAAGGACTCACTGGGCACAGGGCTACAGGACTAGACCAGTGTCCTCCTCCCAGCAAACATCACCACATTCTTGACTAGAGTCTTTCCCTGAGGCTGAGCTTCAGTCGCTTGGTGAGTGCTGCCATTCCCCCTGCAAGTGCAGGGAACAGACATCACTAATTGATCCTTGCACCTTCCCCCGAGCTCTTAACAGATGTGACTAGTAGACCTCAGTACTCTTAACCCCTACACTTAGCTGCCACTTCAGAATCCTTCTAAACACACAGCATCAGGCAGCCACTACCGATTAACTGGACTGGCACTTGAGGTGAACCATCCTTGACAATGTTCATTCATTCATTCACTCCACAAATATTTCTACAGAAGTTTCTTTATATGCTCGGCAACAGCAATGGGAATAATGACAGCAAATAAGAGTCCCTCCCCAGAGTGGCTTATGGTCTAGTGGAAAAAAAATAGACAAGTAAACAGGAATTGCCATACAAGGTGATGCCTGCTGTAACTGGGAGAGAGGGAAGCATACTGTGGACCAACCAATTATGCTGTAACTGGGGAGTGGGAGGCAGTGGGACAGCCAGGAAAGGCTCGCTTAAGATAATGCCTAAGCTGAAATCTGAAGAATGAGTAGGGGTCATCCAGGTGAAGGGAGGAGGGAGAAACAGCATGATTCAGCCACTGCCATTGTCACCCAAGGACTGATGTCCCCAAGGCAGTTCTCTCTCGCCCTCGTTTGCTTGGGGAATAGCCTGTGTCTGCTGGATGGTCATGCCTCCTCTTCTACCGGACAGGCTGCCTACTGCAGGGCTCCATACTCCTTCTTCTTCATCCTAGGGCCAGAACGTTCTAGAAGTCTTGGACACTGGTAGGGGCATGGCTTTTGTGATGGAGCAAAACTATCAGGTGTAACTGCCACTTCACTGTCCAACCAGAAGCCAGAGCTGCCTGTTGGAAGTGTCTCTGATCATGGCATTTCCCTGCTTAATACCTGTCAATGCTTCTCATTATATTCTGAATAAAATCCAAACTCTCCACCATGGCCTTGCATACTAGGCATGACCTGGAACCTACCAAAGGCTCCTCCAGCCTCATTCCACACAACTCTCCCCTTGCCCTGCTGCTCCCACCACACTGGCCTCGTGAGAGCTCCTGGAACAAGTCTAGCTCTTTCACACCTCAGGGCCTTTGCACTTGCAGTTCCTTCCTCTGGAATGCTCTTCCCTCCTCAGAAAGATCTTCCCTGACAACTCTATAAAGCAGCCCTCTCCGCAATGTTCTACCACAGTGCTTTTTCTTTCCTGCACAGCATTTGTTATAAATTTCAATTACTTACTTACCCACTTATGTGCTGGCTGTGTCTCCCCTACTAGAACATAAGCTCCTCTGAGGGTAAAGACTATCAGTCTTGTTCACTATTCTATTCCCAGCACACTGTACAGCACCTGGCATCAAGAAGATGCCCAATAAGTAATTATTGAATGAATGAATACAGTTTTTCCTGGGTGACAGAGGACAGAAAAATAGCTACCATCTTTTGAAGGTTTACTATGTGCCAGATATCTCCCTAATTAATACTATCATTATTAATAGTATCTGAAGTACGAAATAGTTACTATGTGCCAGGTACTATGTTAAACACTTTCCATGTACTTTTTCATCAAATCCTCACCACAACCCTCCGAGGTAAGCTCCCCAATTTACAGATGAGGAAACTGAAGCTCAGAGAGCTGAAGTAACCTGCTAGAGGTCATGCAGCTCAGGAGTGCTAAAGTGGGGATTCATGCCAGGTCTGACTTCTGGGCCATACTGTTAACCTCCATCCTATGCTGCCTTCCTTCCCAGAGCCGGAGCGGCACCTGATGGGGGGAAGGGTTGCTAGCTGGGAGATGACAGCTGCTGGGAGGCCACAGCCAGCCATGGGTCCAAGAGCCTAAGGTGTCAGTGGCTGGGCCTAAAGACTGACACAGTAGCAGGGTGCAAACCAGCCACACCCAGTGGAGGGCCCTGTGGGTACCTAGGCACTGTTTCTAAAGCCTCCATCACCCGAGGCTCTGGCATCCAGTGACACATTCCCTGAGGAGCAGAGATGGTCGAGGAAAGGGCCCCAAGCAGGCCATGCTCTGCTCAACACATCGCAGTGGTCCTGGGGCCCGACCCTCAAACAGAACCAGCCAGTGTCACCACACAGCAGCTCAACCGGTTCCTGTACAACCAGACTTCTTGAAGGACAGAGGAGACTTGACACCTGAGACTAGTAGGGACCTCAGGAACCAGCAAGTCCTATGCCTGATTACACGGAGGAGGACTCCGAGGGCCACAGCCAGCTCCAAGAGGACCCAGACAGCCAAATACAGAACTAGGGTCTTTGGGCTCCCAGCATATGCTCTGTCCATTCATTCACAAATATTTACTGTATTGAACACCTACTACATACTAGGCACTGAGGATATAGCAGTGAACAAAACAATGACCTGCTCTCATCAAGAAAGACAGGCAAGAAACAAACAAGTATATATACAGGATGTCAGATGGTGGCAAGCACTTCGGAAAATAATAAATCAGGGTAGAGGGGGTAGGAGAGAGGAAGACAGTTTGCTATTTTATACGGCTACCTAGGGAAAGCACCAAATCTACTCTTGAGATGGTCTCTCAATTGAGGGTAGATATACTCAAGGTTGTACTTTGGCTCTTGCAGACTTGTTTTACTTTTCTTCAGCTTCAACTTGAACTTGCATATGAGCAACTGATGGTCTGTTCCACAGCTGGCCCCTGGCCTTGTTCTGACTGATGATATTGAGCTTCTCCATCATCTCTTTCCACAGATGTAGTTGACTTGACTCCTGTGTATTCCATCAGATGAGGTCCACGTATACAGTCACCATTTATATTGTTGAAAAAAAAGGTATTTCCAATGAATAAGTCTTTGGCCTTGCAAAATTCTATCATGCAATCTCTGGAGTTTTTATCACCAAGGTCATATTTTCCAACTACTGATCCTTCTTCTTTGTTTCCAACTTTCACATTCCAATCACTAGTAATTATCAACGCATCTTGACTGCATGTTTGATCAACTTTAGACTGCAGAAGTTGGTAAAAACCTTTAATTTCTCCATCTTTGGCATTAGTGGTGGGTGCATAAATTTGAACAATAGTCATATTAACTTGTTTTCCTTGTAAGTATATGGATATTATCCTGTCACTGACAGTGTTATACTTCAGGGTAGATCTTGAAATGCTCTTTTTCAACACCGTTCCTCTTCAATTTGTCATTCCCGGCATAGTAAATATGATTGTCCAATTCAAAAAGGCCAATACCAATCCATTTCAGTTCACTAATGCCTAGGATATCGATCTTTAAGTGTTCCGTTTCATTTTTGACAACTTCTAATTTTCCTTGATTCATACTTCATATATTCCATGCTCTGGTTACTAATAGATGTTTCAGCTGTTTCTTCTCATTTTGAGTCATGCCAGACGAGCTGTGGGATGACATCAGAGTATCAAACATGAAGAAAGCAAAAGGCCATTAAAAAGACAGGAAAGAAAGAAAAGACCAAAATGGATGTCAGAAGAGACTCTGAAACTTACTCTTGAACGCAGAGTAGCTAAAGCGAATGGAATAAATGAAGTAAAAGAGCTGAACAGAAGATTTCAAAGGGCAGATCAAGAAGACAGAGTAAAGTAGTATAATGAAACATGCAAAGACCTGGAGTTAGAAAACCAAAAGGGAAGAACATACTCAGCATTTCTCAAGCTGAAAGAACTGAAGAAAAGATTCAAGCTTCGAGTTACAATACTGAAGGATTCTATGGACAAAATGTTGAACGATGCAGAAAGCATCAAAAGAAGATGGAAGGAATACAGAGTCACTGTACCAAAAAGAATTGGTTGGTGTTCAACCATTTCAGGAGGTAGCATATAATCAAGAACCAATGGTATTGAAGGAAAAAGTCCAAGCTGCACTGAAGGCATTGGCGAAAAACAAGGCTCCAGGAATTGACAGAATTATCAATTGAGATGTTCCAACAAATGGATGCAACGCTGGAGGCACTCCCTCATCTATGCCAAGAAATTTGGAAGACAGCTACCTAGCCAACTAACTGAGAAAGATCCATATTTGTGCCCATTCCAAAGATAGGTGATCAATAGATTGTGGAAATTATCGAACAACATCATTAATATCACACACAGTGTAATTTTGCTGAAGATCATTCAAAACCGGTTGCAGCAGTACAACAACTGGGAACTGCCAGAAATTCAAGCCAGATTCAGAAGAGGATGTGGAATGAGGGATATCACTGCTGATGTCAGATGGATCTTGGCTGAAAGCAGAGAATACCAGAAAGATGTTTACCTGTAGTTTTATTGACTATGCAAAGAAAGGCATTTGACTGTGTGGATCATAACAAATTATGGATAACACTTCAAAGAATGGAAATTCCAGAACACTTAATTGTGCTCATGCGGAACCTGTACATAGACCAAGAGGCAGTCACCCAAACAGAACACGGGGATACTGCGTGGTTTAAAATCAGGAAAGTGTGTGTCAGGGTTGTATCCTTTCACCATACTTATTCGATCTGTATACTGAACAAATAATCTGAGAAGCTGGTCTATATGAAGAAGAACACAACATGAGGACTGGAGGAAGATTCATTAACAACCTGCAACATGCAGATGACACAGCCTTACTTGCTGAAAGTGAAGAGAACTTGAAGCACTTACTGATGAAGATCAAAGACTACAGCCTTCAGTACAGATTACACCTCAACATAAAGAAAACAAAAATCCTCACAACAGGACCAATAAGTAACATCATGATAAACAGAGAAAATACTGAAGTTGTCAAGGATTTCATTTTACTTGGATCCAAAATCAACGCCCATGGAAGCAGCAGTCAAGAAAACAAATGACATTATTATACTGGGCAAATCTGCCCCAAAATACCTCTGTAAAGTGTTCAAA